ACTCTTATTCCACATGCAACTCTGACTCTAACTCCGACGCCTGCATGGTCACATTTACCCGGCCAGCTGCGGGGACGTCGTCCTGGCCAAGGGGCCCTCCGGGCCCGCAGGCGGGAAGTTTTGTTCACACCGCGCGGCGGTGACGGACGGAAGCGGGGTTGCCGGGCCCACGGGCAGGCCCGGCGCCTCAGATGGCCAGTGCGAACCCCCAAGTGCAAGCATTGTTTGGGGAACGTCTTCTGAGCACCAGAGCATGCGGGGCACGCGCGCGCGCGTGTCGAAACCGTTTCACGATCAGCCCACGCCCGCCAATCCGTTCCTCGAGTGGCATCGTCCCGGCCACACGCGTGCGTATCCGCGCGGGCACGTCGCAGTTATTGTAAAGCCGTCGTTGTATATGCAATGCAACACTGGTGTGATAAGCACAAGCGAACACCCAAGAATTCTCCAGTAAGTAGTCACGGCATTCTGAATTTCTGCTTGCGCACTTCCCCGCCATCTGCGCACCAGTACCTTTCGTCATTGCCATCGTCATCATCAGCAGCATCATCATCGCCATCATCATCATCATCATCATCATCATCATCATCATCATCATCATCATCATCATCATCATCATAATCACAATCGTCATCGTCATCGTCCTCATCGGCAGCATCATCGTTACCACCGCCATCATTACAATCGTCGTCATCACTGTCATCGTCCATGTCGCCGCCTTCGTCAAACTCTACGAACACATGGCCCCATCATCCTCACCAGCATCACCATCATAATCATTAATATCACCACCATCATCATATTCATCATCATCAACATCATCATAATCATCAACATCATCATCATGAACAGCATCATCGTCATCTTGGCCAGCGCCACCACTGCCACCGCAATTATCATCACCACTATATTCATCACGGTCACCATCGTCATGAACACCGCCATCGGCATCTGCATCGTCGCTGCCGACACCCACGTTTGATTTTTGCCCACAGGGTGCGGGTGGGTGGGTGCGATGCTTGCACGACCTCTCGATGGCCTTCCCGAGGCCTTGTACGGCTCTCTTAGGCACTCCTGGTGGCCCTCTCGAGCCCCTGCGCGCCGTCTGCGGCTCCTCCCGTGTGCGTCGGGCGATCGCCTGCCGGCACCCCAGACGTCTACTGCGCATCCCTCGCCCCTCCCGGGTTTCCTCTCAGGCTGGATCGTGGTTTGGTCGGGGCGCGTTGGTCCCCAGGCAAGCCCCCACATCCCTCCCCCTCCTTGGGTAACTCAGGAGGGGGAGAAGCACACAGACACAATTAATCGTCGATCCCCTGGAAAATATGGGAAAATATGGGAAGTGGTGGGGAAGACAAAAACCCAGAAAATATGGGAAAATATGGGGAATCGTTCTATTTGTGTGTATTTATTTGTGTGTGTGTGTGTTGTGGGCCCCTTCAGCAGCACAACCCCCATGGACATCAAAATGTACAGTAGGTTACTGTGCCCGAGTGGCCACCCGGGGAACGGTCCAGGATCTCCCCGTGGGGCGTAACGTCGTAGCTGGCGCATCACAGAGGGCAGAGCCCAGGTGAAGATCGTCCTCTACGCAGGGGCCGAAGTCCACGACCTGGCCGAGCAGGACATCCTCATCATATCGAACCATCGGACACGCGTGGACTGGATGTTCTTCTGGGCCCTGGCCGCCGCACTCGGCCGCCTCGGCTCGCTCAACATAGTGCTGAAGGACTCGAGGGAGGAAGAAACACCCCGACCCCGACAGTTGGCGTTCACGAAGCGGCCCTGGGCGTTTACGGAATAGCCCTGCCCTGTCCGGCTTTTTCCATGGACTCGTTCATGAGACGGCTTCGCTCGCCGGGGTGCTTATTATGGGGGTGGAGGTTCCCAGACATACGACGTTTTTTTTCCCGGAAAGGGCATGAGCCCAGGGTTCTCTTTTAGTGGGTAAACCTGTCCCCCGGTGCCAACTTGAAGGAGGCCGGCGAATTTTTTCCCTGATAAATAACGAGGTCGAAGGAGGCCGGCGAATTAAATTTTGAGGATGTCTCGAGCGAAACGCTTGTTTTTGAAATCCCGATCGATAAATCACAGGGTGCGGGCCACTTTTTCGTGCGTTGAGGATGTCTCGAGCGAAACGCTTGCTCCGCAGAGTTTGCCGAGGATGTCTCGAGCGAAACGCTTGTTTTGCAGAGCCGACCGCGACGCGGAAAAGCGCCCCGCGCGAAGGAATTTCGATGATGTCTCGACTAATTCCTTTGTTTTTGTACGATTTCCTGGAAGTTTGGCAGGATGTCTCGAGCGAAATGCACGACCCCACCCTAGCACGACCATACCCCAGCACGACCACACCCCAGCACGACCAGACCCCAGCACGACCCCACCCCAGCACGACCCCACCCCAGCACGACCATACCCCAGCACGACCACACCCCAGCACGACCCGACCCAGCACGACCCTACCCCAGCAAGACCACACCCCAGCACGACCACACCCCAGCACGACCTCACCACAGCACGACCCCACCCCAGCACGACCACGCCCCAGCACGACCACGCCCCAGCACGACCACGCCCCAGCACGACCACCGCCCAGCACGACCACACCCCCAGCACGACCACCCCCCAGCACGACCACGCCCCAGCACGACCACACCCCAGCACGACCACCCCCCCAGCACGACCACCCCCGAGCACGACCACCCCCCAGCACGACCACACCCCAGCACGACCACTCCCCAGCACGACCACACCCCAGCACGACCACACCCCAGCACGACACACCCCAGCACGACCACACCCCAGCACGACCACACCCCAGCACGACCCGATCGATAAATCACAGGGTGCGGAGCACCCCAGCACGAACCCACCCCAGCACGACCCCACCCCAGCACGACCCCACCCCAGCACGACCACGCCCCAGCATGACCACACCCCAGCACGACCACACCCCAGCACGACCACTCCCCAGCACGACCCCACCCCAGCACGACCCCACCCTAGCACGACCACACCCCAGCACGTCCACACCCCAGCACGACCCCACCCCAGCACGATCACACCCCAGCACGACCCCACCCCAGCAAGACCACACCCCAGCACGACCGCACCCCATCACGACCTTACCACAGCACGACCACACCCCAGCACGACCACGCCCCAGCACGACCACGCCCCAGCACGACCACGCCCCAGCACGACCACGCCCCAGCACGACCACGCCCCAGCACGACCACCCCCCAGCACGACCACCCCCCCAGCACGACCACCCCCCAGCACGACCACCCCCCAGCACGACCACAACCCAGCACGACCACTCCCCAGCACGACCACACCGCCTTGGTTGAGTGGTTGCCTGTCGTCGTGGAATGTTTCGTGGGGTGTCTCGTGGAATGTTTCGCGGGGTGTCTCGTGGAATGTTTCGTGAGGTGTCTCGTGGAATGTATCGTGAGGTGTCTCGTGGGATGTTTCGTGAAGTGTCTCGTGGGATGTTTCGTGAGGTGTTGCCCAGTTGGGTATCGTGAAAACGTGTCCATGCTCCACATGTCTATATCCCTTTCCGGGTTCGTGGGTCCATCATGTTTCCCGGAAAGGGCGCGGGCCCAGGGTTCTCTTTTAGTAGGTTAACCCCCCGGCCCCCCTGCGACTTGGGCCGGCGAAATTATTTTGCGATAAATTACGTGCGGGAGTAGGGCCGGCGGAATTATTTTTGAGGATGTCCCTAGCGAGACGCTTGTTTTTCAGATTTTGTTGAGGATGTCTCGAGCGAAACGCTGGTTTTGCAGAGTTGGGGATGTCTCGAGCGAAACGCTTGGTTTCAGAATTTGTTGAGGATGTCTCGAGCGACACGCTGGTTTTGCAGAGCCGACCGCGACACGGAAAAGCGCCCCTCGCGCAGGAATTCCAAGGATGTCTTGCGCGTGCCGCGTCCCGCGCGCGGGTATTTGGATATCTTGGGATTTTGAGAGGATGTCTCGAGCGAAACGCTTGTTTTTCATAATTTGTTGAGGATGTCTCGAGCGAAACGCTGGTTTTGCAAAATTGGAGGATGTCTCGAGCGGTGGCCTCGTGGGGGGCCAGAATTCAGTCCCCATGGCACGTCCCTTGGCACGTCGCTTGGCGCGTCCCTTGAGACGTTCTGCGTCGCGTCCTCCTGGCATGTTCCCCTGTCCATTAGCTCTGGGGCAGCTACTATGTGTTCAGGCAGCTCGAGCTTCAGATCCAGATCAGTTCGGTCAGGACTCGGATGCAAAGGAGGATTCGATCCACGAGGCTATAGAGCACAGTCGCGCCATGGCACATCGCAATTCAGCACGGCGCAGCACAGCACTGATTTCGGCACGGTACATCAAGGTCGATACACTCAGCATTGCAATTTGGCACGTTCCTTGGCACGTTCCGTGGGGCGTCCTTTGGCGAGTCCCCCTGGCACGTCGCGTCGCGCGTCCCCTGGCACATCCCGTGGCACATCCATTGGCACGTTCCGTAGCGCGTCCCCTTTGCACGTCCCGCGGTGCGACCCCATGGCACGTCCCCTGGCACGTCGCCTGGCGCATCCCTTGGGACGTTTCGCGGCGCGTCCTCCTGGCATGTTCCCCTGTCCATTAGCTCTGGGCAGCTACTATGTGTTCAGGCAGCTCGAGCTTAAGATCCAGATCAGTTCGGTCAGGACTCGGATGCAAAGGAGGACTCGATCCACGAGGCTATGGAGCACAGTCGCGCCATGGCACATCGCAATTCAGCACGGCGCAGCACAGCACAGCCCTCGGCAGGGTACATCAAGATCGATACCTTCAGTATTGCATTTGCCCGTCACCCAATCAGGTGTCTTTGAAAACGCTGCCATGTGTTACAGTTCTACATTCCTTTCCGGGTTCGTGGGTCGATCATGTTCAGGACGGCCTCCCTGGAAGTCCCGACCCTTCCCTGGGATCGGTTTTTCGTCCTGAGTATTTTTCCCGGAAAGGGCGTGGGCCCAGGGATCTCTTAGGTAAACCTGTCCCCAGTGCCTCACTTGAGGTGGGCCGGCGGATTCTTTCCTTCATAAATATCGAGGTCGAGGTGTGCCGGCGGATTAAATTTTGAGGATGTCTCAGGCGAAACGTTTGTTTTTGAAATCCCGATCGATAAATCACAGGGTGCGGGCCACTCTTTCGTGTGTTGAGGATGTCTCGAGCGAAACGCTTGCTCCGCTGAGTTACGAGGATGTCTCGAGCGAATCGCTTGTTTTGTAGAACCTGAGGGATCTGGGCGCCCCAGAGATTTGCCTTCTCCAGGTGCACGAACCCGTGTGTTTTTACGTATGTGCCTGTAGATTTGCCCTCTCCAGGTGCACGAATCCATGTGCTTTTACGTATGTGCGTATAGATTTGATTTTTCCAGGGGCGCGAATCCGTGTGTTTTTTCGTCAGCACAGCACGGCACAGCACAGCCCCTGGCACAGCACATCGCCATCGACACCTTCAGCATTGCAAGTGCCCGTCGCCCAATAGGTGTCGTTTCAATATGCGTTTCCACGACCACACCCCAGCACGACCACACCCCAGCACGACCACACCCCGGCACGACCCCACCCCAGCACGACCCCACCCCAGCACGACCAAACCCCAGCACGACCACACCCCAGCACGAACACACCCCAGCACGACCCCACCCCAGCAAGACCATCACCCAGCACGACCACACCCCAGCACGACCTCACCACAGCACGACCACACCCCAGCACGACCACGCCCCAGCACGACCACGCCCCAGCACGACCACGCCCCAGCACAACCACCCCCCAGCACGACCAACCCCCCAGCACGACCACACCCCAGCACGACCACCCCCCAGCACGACCACACCCCAGCACGACCACTCCCCAGCACGACCACACCGCCTTGGTTGAGTGGTTGCCTGTCGTCGTGGAATGTTTCGTGGGGTGTCTCGTGGACTGTTTCGCGGGGTGTCTCGTGGAATGTTTCCAGGGCAACGTTGAAAACGGTCGCCCGTGTCTCGTGGAATGTTTCGCGGGGTGTCTCGTGGAAGTGCCCGTCGATCAACACGGTGTCGTGAAAACGTTTCCATGCATGCGGTTCTATAACCCTTTCCGGGTTCGTGGGTCCATCATGTTTTGACGGCCCCGAGGCCTGGCGACGACCCCCGGCGCCGAAAATAGCCAAAAACCTCCCGTCCTGATTTTTCTTCGACGCGATCATGTCTGGGCGTTCTGCTCTCTAAAGGACAGCTTGCGGTCCGTTCCCGGCTTCGGCTGGGCCACGCAGTGCTTCGGCTACGCGTTCATGTCTCGACAGGGCCGCAGCCAAGACCGAGGGGCATGTTTTCCACCACCGCCACCCTATAGTTGGAAGGGGGGAAGGAGGTGGAGGAGGAGGAGGAGGAGGAGGAGTTCTGGAGTTCTGGGTATGGCGACAGTGTCGGTTACGGTGGAAGCAGCTATGTACCCTGCTGCTTCTTTCTGGCCAGTTCGGCTTTACTACGAACCTTCGGCCAGAGCCCACGGGTGATTCGATCAAGGCAATCACGACGGTTACCATTGACGGCATCGCGACATACTGCGCCTAGCTGTCTCAATTGCTCAGACGCAAAACAGCCACACGCAGTACAAAACCAGATGCCCAACCCCGAATGAAATCGGATGACGTGCGACAAGTGAGCATATCCCCCCGAGATGTGCACCCGCATGCCTGGGGGGGGTCGCCTTATAATGCCGTCCACGTTAATTAGGGAAAAACAAGGTGAGCTCAGCCACTCGGTTTTACGAGCATGGGAAGCAAAACCCTGACGCCTGGAACAGCTCCTGGAGTTTTCCTTGAGACAATGCTGGGTCGAAAACATGGCACACACGCTGGCCGCTGGGGGCCGAACCACAGAAGAGGCATTCTGCTGACGCCTACGCCTGCGCCTACCCCCCTCGGCGGCCTCGAGTCTTTCCTCGGCATGGAGGGCCTCAAGGGTGCTCTGGAGGATACGCATACGAACTGCGAAAGCCTGATGCTCTGCTAAATGGATGCGTGCACGTGTCGACTCAGGCAGGCGGCCCATGTCGGCCCCTGCAGCTGCGAAGCAGTCGGCAAATGTATTTCCGATCACTAAATTGCGGGGGGCGATTCCTTTTACAATGTGTTCACTCTCGAGGTGAGAGTGAACAAAAAGGACTGAGCAAAACACTTCATCCCCCCGCTGCTGCAAAATCTGACCTACCGTCCACCACAAGTCTGCGTCTGGCCCTGACGGGTGCAGCCAGCGCCTCTGATGCCAACCTGATGCCACGGTGTCGTTGTCCGTAACATATGCTATCTGACCAGACGCATGACGGAGCGAGAAAACTAGACAGTAGAGCTCACCTCTGGCCACGGTCTGCCTGGTGCCTGGGAGGGGGCTCCAAAGACCTAGGGTCAAGCTCATGCTGCTGACGTCCTGGAAAACAGCTAATCCAAGGCCTACTCTGCGCAGCAAAGGGGAATGGGTGTCGGGACCCCCACTAGCATCCCCGAAAATAAAGACTGGCCTCCCTCTAGAGCTCTGAGCCGCTACCCCGAAGTCGAGGTTGTTGGACATAGCCCACTGCTCAGCCTCTGGAGGGGCTTCTACCTGCAGCCAAGACCTAGGAATCAAGCCTCGAGTCCAATAGCATTCCTCGGACTCAGCTTGCACATACGCTTTGGCTACTAAATCTTCGCTAAGCTTGTACACAGGGTGCTCCGATCTGCTGCTGCACCCCCACACTCGATGGAAACTAGTCTCTGGAACGAGGCGGCAACGCGGGCATTTCACATCGAGCGTCTGCCGACATCTTGCCTGCCTCCTCGTGCGCGGCCAAGCCGCGCCCGCAGCCGCGGCGAGAAGCAGCCCCGCCAGCCGCCTGCCGCCTGGCGCCAGCTCCAGCTGCTGCAGCAGGCGGCGGTATGAGTGGTTGCACACCCCCTGCTCCATGCCCGCGCCGCCGAAGTGCCGCGCCGCTGCCTCCCACGATCGTGCCTCGATGGTCGTGCGGAACTCGGCGAAGAAACTCTCGGGCACGTCCAGCACGGGGTGACCAGTCATGCTAGACTCGTTGAACTGCCACTCGGACTTGCCGTCTGGCGTGGTCCACACGTTCGGCGCCTCAGGCTTCCAACCCGCGTCGAGGAGGTACGCAATCGTCGTGCCTTGAGGCCCACGTATGTGACGACACCGAACAGCAGGAGGTAGCGCCGAGAAATCAGCAACCAAGTCCGTCCATGTTCGCGAAATACCTGCTCTCAACGCCGGTTGTGAACTCCACATGGCCAGCCACATTCTCAATGTATCGCATGGCAACTTGTACTGAGGGTCGCGGTCGGCAGCCTTCAAGTCCAGTACAGTGGTCAAGCAACGGCCTGTGAGGCGTGGTGCGACCGCGTTGGCAAGCTTCCTCCTGACCTGCTGCATCTGACCTCCCCAAACGCCGTGCAAGTGATGCCCGTGCAGCCCTGCTGGTTGGGCTCCTTGAAGCTCCAGGCGCGCTGGCACACGGTAGCGGCGCAGCGCTCGAGCGAAACCCACGATCTTCTTGGACATGGCCGCGTGCTTCTGGGATCTCGCTCGTCGCGTGGCCCGCCCGTGACGCCTGCCCCCTGCGAGGTCGGCGCCCAGGTAGGCAGCCTGGCTGGCCGCCTTCAGCTGGAAGCCACGAGCAGCGACTCGACGCACCACCGACCTCGCGTCTGCCAGATGCGTGCACACAATTACAGACTTGGGTGAGACTTTCAACCCGTTGGCTGTGAGCGCTTGACATGTGTCCACAATACAAGCCACTAACTGCTTCCTGACAGAACATCGAGATCCTTTTGCCGTCTGACTGAAATCGTCCACCCATAAGCGATGAGACATATTGACATGACAGGTCGTGATGTGCTGAAGAATGTGGAAGGTGATGCATTTCCCGAACCGTGTGCCCGACCTCAGCCCCTGCACGATGGAGCGCGTGGGGCTGAACGGAAAACCGTAAGCCCCTCCTTGCCTGACACATCTAGCCGCCATACATTGCTGAAGTTCGAGCCCTAAAATCTCAGGTGGAAGCTCCAGTCGAAGGGCAGCCTTGGCCATGCGATACCATCCCACAGAATCGTAGAAACTTGCAATATCGATCATCCCATTGCCGATGGAGGCCCCGAGTCGAACTGCAAGCTCTTCGTCAACTGACCGAAGAAAAACTTCACGCAGCGCAGCGTTGCCGCGCACCGCGGCGTCCCAGTGCGCCTCGCACTGGTCCGTCCACGCGCGCACGTGCTCCTCGCGGGCCTGGGACCACGTGCGAGCCAGATGTGACAGAAGGCCTATCACGCGGTCCCCTGCCACCTTCTTGGGCAGCAGGGTGCCCACCGTGAGGAGCACTTGGTGAGGCCACACCTGGTGCTGCTCGCAGAGGGTGAGGATGCCCGCCAGCTCGCTGATGGCCGCGTCGGGCAGCCTGTCGTAGTCCAGGCAGCACGTCCTATCGACCCCCATGGCAGATGACGGTTTCATCCGTCGCAGGGCCGCTCGGATATCTGCTACCTCCAGCGGTGCCAACGCCTCCCCTCTTACTCGCTCACGAATCTCGTCGAACACCTCAACGAGCAGATCGAAGTCGTCTGACTCGGGACCCCATAGCTGCTGCCAGTGCTGGCTCTTGCTGTCGAGGATGTCGCGAGGGTGCACCAGCGTCGTCGGCCCCACCTCGAGCGTGTCAGAGGGAATAGGTGTCTCCTTGATTGCTCGATGTAGCGCGCCAACAGCTGGTGCAGACTCTGACCATTCCCGAAATTCGATGAGCGATCTCTGGATCGCTCTCTGCTGGGCCCGCCTAGCCAAGCGTACCGTGAACTCGACAAGCTTCGTGAAACTGTCGTCGTCGAACGTGGTGATGCTGTCGAGCTGCCGCCGCCACTGTGCCCACTTGTAAGGATCACCTCGCCGCAAGACTCGGTGTGCCTCGTCAGGACACTGCAGGCCTAAACTCTTGAGCGCTGTCACCAATATCTGAACCTGCTTGTCACCGTTTTGCCGCCGACGGTGACTCTGGAATGAAAGTAAAATGTTGGAAACTCGGGTCCACCAGCCTGCAACTCGGTCGCGAAGTGGAGTGACTCTCTGCGGCTTGGACTGGTGGACCTCGCACACTCGAAATTGCGCTGCCTGCCCTCTGCTGACGAGAGGTTCAGCTTGGCCGTGGTGCGTGTGGATGGCACTCTCGACCGATCTTATCCAACTGCAATATAAGGAACTGATGTGTGGAGAAGCGGCCGAAAGGGAACCGAGCCGAAAAGCTACGGACGACGCAACGGCAGGCGCAGGGAGGTTAGACGAGCTCGGGGAGAACCCGATTTTCTTCCTGGCCTGGATCCATTCGTCGTGACTGATGGCGAAACTGACGGAGCCTAGGGTGTCAGGGGGCTCTGAGCTCACCGATTCAGCTTGGACCTGATTCAGTTGGCGACCCCCAGGCTGGGCGGGGCTCTCAGAAGGCTCACTAGGGGTTGAATTAACACAAGCTGGCTCGGATGACTGAGGCTGACTACGCTCGTGCTGCTGCTGACCCACAAAGAGAGGCGGGGCGGCGGGCTCGGGAGTGCCGAAGTTGGGCTCGTTGGCCCAAGGGTCGTAGTCAAAGTCCTCGCCCAGAAAGTCGCCCTCATCGAGCGATCTGTGGGACGCGACCTCGCCTTCGGAAACTCCCTCCCCCTCGCTCTGGCTCTCAACCTTTTCAATCGCAAGAGCCTCGCCAAACCACTCCTGAATTCGAGCATTGCGCTTCTCGAGCGCCAATTTCTTAAAGCTGTCTCGCTTGGCTTTGCTGATGCTTGACTTCGAGCCTTCGATCGCTTGCTGCCCCGGCCTAGCCACTTTGGGAAACCTGGGAGCGAGTTCCAAAATTCTGGTGAAGAGCTGATTGGCTTCTCCTACGAGGTCCACATGGAGGCCTATGTGGGGACGCCACGGCACATCACACACAGCACGCACAGCGCGGACATAGGGTCGCGCGGCAGCGCTGACAACTAAATAATCTAGGTGCGAAGGTTTGCTATCCCCCCCAGGGGTACAAGCGAAATCGGCTTCGCAACAAAGGACCTGGCCTCCTACCCTGTCTAGGAAACCAGTCCGAGCTAACGAGCCTGGGGTGGAATTCCAATCAGCGGCAACGATCCAGGGGAGTTGGAGCGAGGAGAGGAGGGAAGCGAGCTTCCTAAACCTGGGAACATTCTGATCACGCATGCCGATAGACGAGTGACCGTAGAACGTGAGCACGACTACAGAGTATCCTTTTAGCTTTTTGTTGTTTTTGACAATTTTTTTTGAAGTTTATTGTTTTTTTTTTTTTTTATTTTTTTTTTCTCTTGTTTTGAAGAAGTGTTTATTTTTTTTTTTTGATTTTTGTTTGTTTTTTTTTTTTTTTTTTCATTTTTTTTTTTTTTGTGTTGTATTGTCTTTTATTTTCTTTTTTTTGTTTTTTTTCAGATTTTTTTTTTGTGTTTTCTTCTTTTTTTTTTTTTTTTGTTTTTTCATATTTTGTTTTGTTTCAAGACACAACTCCACAAAAAAACAGTCGAAGCCATTGCTCGTCGGTTGAGTCCTGGAGGCCAACTGATGAATCTATTTTTTTAAACTATGGCTTCGCTCACCAGCACTTGGGCGGACGATGTCGGGCAAACAGAAGATCTCTCCTCCCTCATTCGAAGTTGGATCAGCGTTGCTAAACCATTTACTCTTGGGTCTGGCTGGATTCGCAAAAAACTTGAGTGCTGACTCACGAGCTTTCTTTTTCCAGCGCTGCATCTGCGAGGCCCCCACGTGGGACTCACACAGGCCGATGTACGTGTAGGTCTGCATCAACGTGCCAACGACATGCCCCCATGCTTTGTCGCCCATGCACGTGATATTCGAAAAGAACATAGCTGTAGTTGCGCTGCTCGTGGTTGTAGTACAACCTGCAGCTCCCGAAGACGGTGTAGACTGAGACGGGGCAGAGGACGGGGCGGAAGTAGAAGAGGTAGAGGATGTACCAGTAGACGCACTGGTCGAACCCGTCGTCGTGGCCGTAGGAGGTCCCGACGACACACTCGTGGAAGTCCCTAGTCACGAGTTGGCAGCCTGCGTCTGCCCAACTCCCTTGCCCGTGGTCTGGCCGCCCTTGCCGTTGGTCACTGCCTCTGCCGCCTCGAAGCGGGCGCGTGACAGCTTGTCGGCCTCCTGCTTGATGGCCTCCTCCTTCACGGCGGCCTCGCGGACAGCGGCAGCACCTGGTGCCTCGCCAGCCGCGTCGGCAGCAGAGCCCGTGGCTCCCGCCGCCTCGGCCTCCGAGGGTGGAGGGGCCCCGCCGCCCTCAGCGGCTTGGCCGTCCTGCGCCTTGCGCTTCTTCTTCATGTGCTCCGCGACCTCCTCCTGCGCCGACTTCACCTTGTCGACGAAGGCCTGCCACTGGCTGTTGCGCTGCTCCAGCGTCTGCTGGTAGTGCTTCAGCTCTTGGTGCAGCTCGCGAAACTTCTGCTTGTCCGCCTCCTCGCAGTCCCATGACTCGAAGGAGTCGAACACTTCCATGTTCATCTGGATGCCGAAGACCGACGGCGTGCCCTCGGCAGCTGGAGCGATCACCACCTGGGGTTTCACTCCGACCGCCTGCGCCAGCGCCTCCGTCGCCGCCGTCTTGGCCGCCGCCGCGCGCGCGAGCTCGAGGGCTGCCTCGCGCTCCTTGCACTCGGCGGCGGCCAATTGCTTCCTCAATCTGACTACTTGACTAATCATCTGCTCGTGCCTGTTGTTGGCAGCCTTCCACGCTCCGTCCGCTTTCTTCACTGCGTCGACCTCGCTGGATGAGCCGCTCTTGGTGGCGTCTTGCTCCGCGAGGCGCTCGCTCTGCTGCTTCAGGATGGCGTGCAGCTCTTTGTTGGTCGTGGATGCTGCCATCGCCTGCTGCAGGATGGTCACAAGCTCCTTGTTGCCTGCGCCGCCTGCTGCAGAGCCTCGCCGCCCCCTCGGAGTGCCTGGACTCGAGGAGGGCTGCTCGTCCTCGAAAGTGACCGACTTGGGCCTCTCTGCGGAACGAGAGCGAGGCCGAAAGATCTTGACTTGTCGACCACACTGTCCACAGCGGTTGCCACATAGCGCCAGCTTGTCGTTGTACTCATCCCGCTTGCAGAACTTGCACCGACTCCAGGGCCGCGAAAAAGCCTGCGGCGCCATGCTATGACAGTAGGAGATGCCCAGCTTTCGTGGGCGAGAACTGAATGTGAGGGTAAGACAGATTCTCGCACTCCCCCAAGCCCCCCGTGAAGGGACTGGGCAGGTTCAAGCACGGGCCTTCACTCGGGGGTGAAGGACTTGGTGCTCGAGCCTATATGGCTTATGATGAGGAGGAGGAGGAGGAGGAGGAGGAGGAGGAGGAGGAGGAGGAGGAGGAGGGGAGGATGGGGAGGGGGAGAAGGGGGAATAGCAGGAGGAGGAGGCGGAGGAGGAGGAGGAGGAGGAGGAGGAGGAGGAGGAGGAGGAGGAGGAGGAGGAGGAGGAGGATGAGGAGGAGGAGGAGGAGGAGGGGAGGAGGAGGATGGAGGAGGAGGAAGGTATGAGGAGGAGGGGAGGAGGAGGAGGAGGAGGAGGAGGAGGAGGAGGAGGAGGAGGAGGAGGAGGAGGAGGAGGAGGAGGAGGGGTAGGAGGAGGAGGAGGAGGAGGAGGAGGAGAGGAGGAGGAGGAGGAGGAGGGAGAGGAGGAGGAGGAGGAGGAGGAGGAGAGGAGTGAGGAGGGGAGGAGGAGGAGGAGGAGGAGGAGGAGGAGGAGGAGGAGGAGGAGGAGGAGGAGGAGGAGGAGGAGGAGGAGGGAGGAGGAGGAGGAGGAGGAGGGGAGGAGGAGGAGGAGGAGGAGGAGGAGGAGGAGGAGGCGGAGGAGGAGGAGGAGAGAGGAGGAGGAGGAGGAGGAGGAGGAGGAGGAGGAGGAGGAGGAGTAGGAGGAGGCAGGAGGAGGAGGAGGAGGAGAGGAGGTAGGAGGAGGAGGAGGAGGAGGAGGAGGAGGAGGAGGAGGAGGAGGAGGAGGAGGAGGAGGAGGAGGAGGAGGCAGGAGGAGGAGGAGGAGGAGGAGGAGGAGGAGGAGGAGGAGGAGGAGGAGGAGGAGAGGAGGAGGAGGAGGAGGGGGAGGAGAGGAGGAGGAGGAGGAGGAGGAGGAGGAGGAGGAGGAGGAGGAGGAGGAGGAGGAGGAGGAGGAGGAGCGAGGAGGAGGAGGAGGAGGAGGAGGAGGAGGAAGGAGGAGGAGGAGGAGGAGGAGGAGGAGAGGAGGAGGAGGAGGAGGAGGAGGAGGAGGAGGAGGAGGAGGAGAGGAGGAGAGGAGGAGGAAGGAGGAGGAGGAGGAGAAGGAGGAGGAGGAGGAGGAGGGAGAGGAGAAGGAGGAGGAGGAGGAGGAGGAGGAGGAGGCGGAGGCGGAGGAGGGGGAGGGGGAGGAGGAGGAAGAGGAGGAGGAGGAGGAGGAGGAGGAGGAGGAGGAGGAGGAGGAGGAGGACGAGGAGGAGGAGGAGGAGGAAGAGGAGGAGGAGGAGGACCCCCTCCCCCTCCCACTTCGGGCGGTGGGGTGGCGAACAGGCCCCCCGAAGACCTCCGCACCCTGCGCCGGGCGGCCGCGCTGCACGGGGGGCGCGGCCGCCTCGCGCTGCTGCTCTTCCCCGAGGGCACGGACCTCTCCGAGAACAACCGGCGCCGGACTAAGCTGCCTCGATACGCCCGTTTTGATACTCTGAGCCTCCTAGACGGGATCCGAGCAGACGGGGTCGGAGGATCGCGCCGCATCGCCGATGCATCGGCGATGCGGCTCGATGTGGAGCCCGTGATCCCCCACGCCGACGTCGGCGATGCTTCGCCAACGTCGACTATGCATCGCCGGTGCATCACTGATGCATCGCCGATGCATCGCCGATGTATCGGCGATGCGGCGCGATCCTCCGATCCCATCTACTCGGACCCCATATAGGGGGCCTCTAGATACGCAGCACGTGCCGTGCTCCAGACGTCCGTGTCAACACGGTGCGTGTTGGCTCCACGTATTGGACCACGTTCTGGCGAATGTATCGCGTCGGGCCTGCGTTTTCAGCCTACGGGTTGAGCTCCGTATCAATACGCTGCGTGTTGCATGTTGCGCATCGGGGCAGCCAAGGCGCCGGAGCAGCGCCTTCGCGGAGGCGCACGGGCTGCCGGAGTACACGCAGATCCTGCACCCCAGGGCCGCTGGGTTCTCAGAGGATCAAGCGGTGGCGAAGCGTCCCGGCACGCCTATAGGCCCACCAACAAATGTTCTTTCCTTGGTTTGCAGGGAATGTTCCTAGAGCATGTCTGATTGGGACTCTCTTGATTTAACACATCGGGGTCAATGTTCTAAGAACATTATTGTTTTTGTTTTTAGAACATGTCGTGGTAGGACTTTGGGAATGCCGGGGCGGTCGGTCCCTGCTCCAGAGGAGGAACAGGCACTCGTGCCTCTGCCCCTCCCTCGTGTTCCGCTCTTTGGGCCTCCGCGGAGGCCCTCTTTTCGCCACCGTCGGATTCGCCTCGAGATCCTGGTCAGAACGCACCCTAGGAGAGGTCCTGGGAGTAGCGGCATGGGTACCTTTTGATGTCCCCAGGTTCGTCGCGCTCAGCGAGTCCCTCCGCCTCGTGGCGCGGGCGAACGGTGCAGCCATGCCCCGGTTGCTCGACGTGACGGTCGGCTACGTGGACTACGCGCCCGGGGAGCGCCCGAGCGAGCAGTCGATCTTCGCGCGGGGGCGATGCTGCCGTGAGGTCCATGTGCTGATCCAGCCGTCGGCCACTCCGGCGACCGCCCAGGATCGGGACGATCGACATGAGTCTGAAAAATGTAGATGGATACAAAGACCGACAGCAGCACTCGCTCACTTTGAAATGGACTCGCTATCGCTGTCGCCACGGACGTTGTCCATTCGAGACAGGAGGCCGCCGGCCCAGCAGCGGCCACTGCTGGTGTTGGGCAACAGCTGTTGTTGGACATCGTCCCTGCTTTTCCGGGTGTCACAGCAGGAGGGCGAGGACGTCTGCCGGCGCCTCTTCGCGGCCAAGGAGCCCAGGCTCAGGCAGTTCTACGCGCCCTGTGCAGAGGGCAGCCCACCACCAGAACCAGACCCACCTCCACCGCGTCGGGGTCGTGCCCTGGGATTTCGAGGGGCGGTGGATGGGGACACCCTCAGGGGCAACAAGCAGGGGGGGATAGGCTCAAGGGGGTGCCTCAAACCCCAATCGCTCAGTGATTGCCGATATGGGGCCCGATAGCCCCACCCAGCCCAGGAACGGGCGGGTGCGCTAGCGGGGGCCCATCGCCGATTGATTGGCGATGACGCCGTCCCAGACATGTTTTTTGATTCGCGGGTCGAGAGCGCACCTCTTCCGGTCGAAGCTAAGCGGGCCGCGCGAAGCTTGCATTAACAATGAGGTAGAGGAAGGCGGGAGAGCGCAGCCTCGGGGCGAGGCCAACATACGCCGTCCCAGACATGCGACGTCCTGATCTTTTCAGGACGGCGTCCCCGGAAGTCCCGACCCCTTTCCCGGGACGGGTCTTTCCTCCCCCGAGGCACGGCGAGGGCCCCATGGGGCCGCATAAATTGACAAGAAACGTCCCGTCCTGATTTTTGCTTGCGCGACGCGATCCTGTCTGGGGTGGCCTCGGACGTGCCTCTGTAGGGGGCCACATGCGAACCCGACCCCTACCCCCCACGATTTCTGAGGGGGAAGGTGGGGTTCACTTCGCTCGAGATGTCCCGAGCGAAGTGAACCCCACCCTCCCCCTCAGAAATCGTGGGGGGTAGGGGTCGGGTTCGCATGTGGCCCCCTACTCTGGCGGTGCAGGCAAGGGCCCCGACCTCTCGGCCTTCTCCGCCCTCGCCGCGCCGGTGCCGCTGGAGGCCTGGCCGCAGGCCGCGGGGCGGGGGAGCCCGGCCGCGGCCGGACGGCGGCGGCCTCCTCGTCGTCGGCGGCAGCGGCGTCGGTGACTGGCCGCACGTCGCGACGGGTGCTGCATCGGCGATGCGGCGCGATCCTTTGCTCCTTCTCCTCCTCCTCCTCCTCCTCCTCCTCCTCCTCCTCCTCCTCTTCCTCCTCCTCCTCCTCCTCCTCCTCCTCCTCCTCCTCCTCCTCCTCCTCCTCCCCCTCCTTTGTTGCGGGTTCGGGGCATCCCCTGCCGATGCTGCCGCGATCGACTGGTCGGCCGTCATCTCGGTGTTGCGTCGCGTGCCTCTGTCATGAAGGAGTGCCAGCATCAAGACGTGGAGGAGTGCCAGCATCAAGATCAGGGGCCCTCGCCGGGCCTCGGGGCCGTCAGAAAACGATTCGGGAGGAAAAGCCGATCCCGGGGAAAGGGTTGGAGCTTCCGGGACGCCGTCCTGAAAAAACCAGGGCGTCGCATGTCTCGGATCCCATCTTGGAGGCCTCTGTGCCGCAGGTCGCGGCGCCATGATTCTTGTATCACGCCGACCCCCATAGGTCCCGACCCCCTCCTCAGGACCAACATTCCCTCCTGCGAGTCCCTTCTGTGCACGGCCCCCGGGCCCAGCGAGGGGTCCCGGAGACCAGGAAACGCCGGGAAAAGACGTCTGGGTGGCCGCGGCATGAGGAAGCTCCGGCGGCCGCGGCGGCGGCGGGGGAGCCCATGGTGGCGTCGAGGGCGTCGGCGCCGGCGGCGGCGGAGGCGGCGGGCGGCCGCAGGCCGCGGCGGGCATGCGCGCCGGAGTGGCCGCCGTCTGCGCCCTGGAGCTGCTCGGGGCCGGGCTCGCGTGGCGGCTCGGCCCTGCGCAGGCGGCCCTGGCGGCGGCCGCGGGCTGCGCGTGCTTCGCGGCGGTCACCGCGGCGGCGGGCGGCATCGACCAGCGGGCGGCCACGTGTGGCCCTGGCCCCGACCGGCTGTCGATCTGGACCAGGTTCCCGCCTCGCCCCCTCCTCTTTCTGCTCCTCCTCCTCCGCACGCCCCCCCCCCCCCCCCCCCCCCTCCTCCTCCGCCCCCCCCCCCCGCCTCCTCCTCCTCCTCTTCCTCCTCCTCCTCTCCTCCTCCCTCCTCCTCCTCCTCCTCTTTCAAGCCGCACGCGGGCCTGACGAAAGGGGGGGGATTGGGAGAGGGGGGGGCTACGAACTCTGCTGCGTGCAGCTGGTTTCGGCCCCGCCGCTGGGCCCCTGCCCCTCACTACATGGGCGCCTCCCGGCGCCGGGAGGCGGGCGCCGGGGAAATCGGCCACGGGAGCTGATTCTCCCCCCCCCCTTTGCTATAGCCCCCCCCTCCCGCCTGGCTGGACGCACCAGCGGGAGCGACGCCCCGAAGCTTGGAGGCTCGAGGTTCTGGTTTTCGGGGCGTCTTCGGCGGCTCTCCGACGCCTCGGGGCGCCTTCCAGCGGCTGCGCCTCGCCGGGGGCGTGTTCCTGGGATGGGGGTGCCTGCAGGGCGCCTCCGACGCCTCCGACGCCTCGGGGCGCCCTAAGCAGCGGCTGCCCCTCGCCCGGGGCGTGTTCATGGGGGTTCCTGCAGGGCGTGCCGCACGGCCGCCGGAGGCCGCCAGAGGGCCGAGTCATGGCCCGAAGACCACAGGGTGAAGCAGTGCCGAAGCGTCCTGGCTCGCCGATAGCCCTACCGAGCAGTGTCCTAAGAACTTTTTGACGTTCCCACGAAGTGTTCTCAGAACAGTTCTGGCTGGGACTGTCTTGTTTTGTCAAATCGGGTTGATGTTCTAAGAACATTGTTTTTCGTTATTCGAACATTTTTGGGTTCTAAGAACACTTCGTGGTAGGACTACAGGAATGTCGGGACGGTCGGTCCCTGCCCAACAGGGAGACCAGCTCAGGCGGGGATCAATCGAGCTGGAAATCGGTCGTCCGCTCTGCATCGCTGATGCCTTTCAAGGCATCAGCGAGGCAGAGCGGCCGTCGCATCTGCAACTTCAACATGACTTCCACAACTCCAACTCAACTCTCATACCTTAGATCTGGCAATAACACTTGCGATGAGGCTCGATTCGACGCCCGAGGTTCTCAATCCCTGTGTCGCTGATGCATCGGCGATTCGGCGCGGTCCTCCGACTCCATCCGTTCGGACGGCCTCCAGAGCATTTGCGGTCAACCAGTGAGTTTTACTGGGCTCGTGTCCTGTCGCAGTTCTGGAGCCATCGTTGGCGAGCCTCATACGGGCCCAAGTCGACGGGCAACGTCGTGGTACCATACAGGGCACGCACGTGGCCGCCTGGCCAGATCCTCTTCCAGCACGCGGCGCGCTGGCCGTCGCAGCCGGCCGGAGTTTGGGCCAGCGTCGCGGATGCTTGACTCGTTTGATGGGAGATGGCGTCGCTCAAGCAGTGGCGACGCGTCCTGGCTCGCCTATAGCCCTACCAATTCATGTTCTAAGGACCTTTTGAGCTCTCCACGAAATGTTCTCAGAACATTTCTGGCCAGGACTGTCTTGTTTTAACACGTCGGCTCCGCGTTCTAAGAACATTTGTTGTTCTTAGATCAGTTAGGGGTTCTAAGAACATTTCGTGGTAGGACTATAGGAATGCCGGGACGGTCGGTTCCTGTTCAAGAGATGGCGTCGCAGTCGTGGCGGTCACGGCGGCGGCGGCGGGGGGGCATCTTGCAGAGGAGGGTCCGCAGAGACAGCGGCAGTTAGCCTTCGGGAGGTCCCCTCGTCGCTACGGCCGGGCGGCGGCGCTCGGAGCCTGGGAGGGGTCCGGGGTCAGATGTTCAAGCAGTGGCGAAGCGTCCTGGCGTGCCCATAGTCCCACCAAGCAATGTTCTAAGGACCTATCGTGGTCCCCACGAAGTGTTCTTTGAGCATTTCTGGTTGGCACTGTCCTGTTTTATCACATCGGGTTCATGCTCTAAGAACAGTGATTTCGTTATTAGAACATGTTTGGGTTCTATGAACATGTCGGGGTAGGACTATAGGAATGCCAGGACGGTCGGTCCCTGCTCAAGATTTGGAGTTGCCGTTGTCTCAATTTTCCCAGCTCCGAATCATGGGTTGAGACAGGTGGGGCAACAGCGTGCGTGCCTTTCCAAACCAAGCGAGCCTTTGCAGACGGCGTGAGACGTCGCGTTTGGGCAGGCCCGGTCTGTTTGGGAAGACCCAGGTCGCATGTTGCGTGAGGCCCAGTCGCTCTTGGAAGTCCGGGGGTTGTTTGGCAAGGTCTGGGCCCCATGTCGCAGAAGGTTCAGGTAGGTTCGGGAAGGCCCTGGCCCTCAGGAAGGCCGTGTTACTTTGGAAAGGCTCGGGCATCGAGTGCGCCCAGTTAAGACGTGGGTTGGTAGCTGGATGCTTCGTGTGGGTGATCCGAGAGAACGGTTTCTGCTGCTTCGCTCGGGCGCCATACTTGCGACCGTTGGCTGCCCACCACGACCACGGAGGCGCGCGCCGTCAGAACGTCTCCGCACCAGCCCACCGTTGGCGCTCCTCGCCTCTCTGCGGCTGCGGGCCCTCCGAGCTGGGCCGTCGCTGGCGGCAGCGGCCCCGGCAGCATCTCCCCCATCCCCCTCAATGATGGTGGTGCCGCTTCCCCCCATTTCCTCTACGGCTCCGGCCCGGGTCCGCGAGTTCTGGCCTCCAGCTGGTGCAGGAGGGCAAGGGTGTGCTGTCGCCGAGCTGTCTGCCCTTTCGGCGGTTGCACGGTCCGCCCGGGCCTGCCCTGCAAGCTATGCCCGTTTCGGTGGCGGCCGGAGTCGCGCACCGCCCCGTGGCGCGCCCCGTCTCTCCTCCCGTTCCTCCCCGCCGCCGCCCCACCCATCGTCCGCGTCATCGTCACCTCCAGCCTTCCATCCATTGGCCTCAGAAGCATTATGATCCGTGTATCCCCCCATCCCTACCATTGGCATCAACTCGTCTCGCTGCCGCGATCTCAAGGGGCTCCATCGGTTTCTGAGGACGTAACTATCCCCTGAGACTGTCAGCGTCTTGAGCGCTGTCACTTGTTGAGATGGGGACGAGCTCGAGGTTGGTCATCATCGAGGGAGAGAAAACAGCATGAACCCAAGCTGTCGAAGGTCCGCGCGGACTTCTTGGATCGGCGTTGCACCGCCCTCCCCGTGCGCGGAGCGCGCCATGGGTTGCGCCGGAGGCGCCGTCAGGGAGGTCCCAGTGCCGATACAAGAAATCCGCGGGGAGATCCGAAAGGATGCCGCACTGTGTTCTTCTACAGATGGGGACAAGCTCGAGGGTGATTATGAAAGTTTTTGCCTCGGGTTCCCTTCGGGGATCATCCACGGAGCTTAGAACGATACAGAGTATATACTAACATGGCCCCTGCGCAAGGGTGACACGCACACATCGAGAAGTGTATACAGTTGTGTGGATTGCGTTGCAGCGGATGCACGCGTATGAACGGAGAAAAGATCAGCGCCTTTCTGTTCATCGAGGTCGGCACCCTGCTGAGAATGCCTGCCCCCTCTTACTTCTCCCCCCGGCTCGCCGCCCACTCACATTGTCAGCGTCTTTGTGCGCTGTGAATCGTGAAAATGGGTATATACTTTTTACCTCCCAGATGGGGTCGGAGTTGCTGGTGTCGGAGGATCGCACCACATCGCCGATACGGGCCGATGTGACGCCCGAGCTGGCGTCGCCGATGCACCGCCGAGGTCGCCGGTGCATCGCCGATGCGTCGCCGATGTATCGGCGATGCGTTGGCGGTGCGGCGCGATCCTCCGACCCCATCCCATCTAGGAGGTCTTTTGCACAAGCTCGAGGCCGGTTATGTGCACTTCTGCCTCCCGTGCCCGCAATCTGGACGCCCGAAATAGGTACCCAAAGAATGGGTACAATGCCCAACAGCAGTTCCTGTCATTTTGAACAGGACTCGCTGTCCACGCCGCCGCGGCCTGTGTCCAGTCGAGACAGAAGGCCGCCTGCCCAACAGCGGCCGCTGTTGGTTTGCGACAACAGTTGTTGTTGGGCATTGTACCCATTTTTCCGTACCCACTTCGGGCGTTCAAACGCAAGACGCCACCGCGGCGTACTCCCGAGCGGGCTCGACCTGCGCGGTGCACGCCGTCGCCCGGCCACGGTGCGCGCTCTGGGGGATAAGGGGGCCGTCGGCGAAGGAGAGGGCGAGGAAGAGGAGGAGCGGAGGGGGGGGAGGGAGGGGCTGCCTCCCCCTCTTGAGGCCTCCTGAGGCTGTTTCGGTTTCTCCCTCTTCCTTTGGCGGGGTCTTGGGCTCAGAGGCCGCGTTCCGAGGCTAGGTACCGTGGTGCGTGCTCGGTACAAATCTGGGCGCGCCTTCCGCGCGCGTCGGGCGCGCCCAGAAGGGCTACGCGGATAGACCGCGTGTGGCCCGCAGCGGCAGGTGGGGGAGGGGCAGAGGGAGGGGAGGAGGGGTGGGAGGAGAGGAGAAGCTCCGAAGATGCATGTTGTTGGCGTTACGGTCGGGCCCAGGCGAATCAGGTCGAGGTCGGCCTGGGGAGGGCACCCTGATGCTGTTCGTGCTTGTTGGATGCTGGGTACCCTTGGGTGCTCTGTGTGCTTTGGCCGGCGGAGTATCTGATGTCTT